CGGTCCCGGGGATCATACGGGCTAATTAATTCGGCCGCAACGGCGAAACGGAGAGCGAACGCGCGGGCGTATAAACGGGCCCGCCTGCATCCGGAAGGTAAATATCCGTCGTTATCGGGGCACGCTATCGCGTGAGCAGCCACCGGCTAAAAAGGGATCGCCGATAATTCGTAATTGCTTGTTATTATCGTGCCCGGAGATCGAACATGTCCGACCGTCGCCGGTTCTTGTCGCAGGATGCATTGATGCGTCTATTAGCGGCGAATTTGCAAGTATGATTCGATGTAAAAACACCTCGTTCGGTGTAACGCGCCGCGCGTCTGCTCGCGGCGGCGACGTCTCGATCTCCGCTCGGTGCGCCCCGGCACCGAGCGCGCCGACTATTCGCCGCGTCGGTCGCATTAATAAACGTGACAATCTTAACGATCGTAACGGCAAGTGGATCGCGAAAGTTCGCGCGTCCGCGGCACCTCCCGACGCCGGTGCAACGTGAAAAAACGACCGCCGCGCGATACGCGTATCCGTTCAAAATGAATTCCATCGAGGACCTCATTAATTTCGTAACCCAACGGGAACCGTTGATACCCTCCGAACGAACGTTGAACTGTTTCGCATTCTCGCGCGAGTTGTAAGCAATTAACGTCGGTTATTCGATGTTTACAAACTTCGGACGCCGAGGTGCCTCGTCGCTATCCTACGCGGATGTTCGAGACCATTAGATTTGTCTGCTTTTCATTCCGCGGCATCGATCATTCGAGTTGAACGGTTAATAATCCTTTTGCAACGGACAACGCTCGAGTCGCCCGAGGTTTCGGCGAACCGATACGCCGCGAAGCAACGACGCGGTTTTCCCAGCGAGCTCTCGGGGAAAGAAAGTCGTGGAAAATTCTCGAGGCCTCGACCACGCGAGACCGTCGTTCCATGTTGTATTAGCGACGGCGGCGGCCATTAGAACACGTCCGCGAGAAACACAAGCGGCCCCAATGAGTCGGCTAATTAGTTTATTACGCCGCGCTAATTTGTATGCCCATAAATCGCGATCGTATGCACACGGGACGCGTAATGCACCGAGCCTTAATACGGAGCGCTCGCCTGTGTGCGCGTCCGCTCGGCCGTGTGCGTCGCACTTGTGTGAGCGGCGCACACGGTGCACGGTCGCATAGTAGCGTGCAAATATGACAGAAATGACTAGCAGATTTTCGAGCCGCTCTCGCTCCGCCTCGCTCCCTCTTCCACGCGCGCGTTTTCTCTCCTCTCCGGCCCTCTCGCTCGGAAATCGCTCCATCCGAAGCGTCTAATCGAGCGTGACGCATCTAATCGGGCATTCGCGATACACTGTTACGAGCCGTGGAACGGCCACGGGAGAAGAAATAAATTAACATCGTAAATTCTCAATACCGGCGATGAATTAACGACGAGTCAATTAACGCGATCGCCTTTCTAGCGCGCGGACCTCGATCCTTCCCTTCAACCTGTACAGTCCCTGATCGAAAAAATTCACGCCTCTATTCTCCGCGTATCTTTTGAAAACTTTTCACTGTTTCACGCGACGCACCTGCGTGACGGCCTTTGTTATTCGGCGCTTCTGCTAGCTTCTCAATGTTAACCCCTTGCACTCGAGAGGTGACTCTCAGTCACCGCTTCGTTTGGTACAGTGAAACTATAGAATGTGGTGTTTAATGCTAAATTTTGTATAATACCTCGATTCGTGAAACATTGGAATAAAACAGCTTTGTTCCTCAATGTACTGGTGATTTCTCTTCGAATTGTTCTCGAAGAACATCGTATTCGACTCGTAAAGAAATGTTAAATATTTCTAGTAAGAAACATCCGAGTGCAAAGGGTTCCTTGCCTTATAACGTGACTCGCGATGAAGATGTTAAACGGAAATATTACTCAATTGTCGTGGATACAGATTGAATATTCTCCTGTTATCAATTACTATAATTCAGGAACACATAGAACATGAATTTTGTCATTTCCAATAAATCGTTAGCCCTTTACGGACGAAGATTCGTCAAGCCACAGGCAACCGTCAGCAAATGAAGCTAGATTATACACGAAATCCTTAAATAACACTGAAAAAATGAAACTAAATACCGATCTCGTGCTGTTCGAGAAATGAAGTAATTTGTTTTCCACTTCGCATTCGCCTAGTGGTTAATGACAAGCGTACGGCAAGCGTATCGATCATAGTTGGGAAAGACGTCGTTAGGGGTTAATTCTCGAGACTCGATCTCAACTTCCGAACCCTCGGAGCGCAACAGTCGCCGGTAGGAAGTCCTCCGGAGAGCAATTCGCGACAGATTCACTCTGGAACGAGTGTACGGCCTGTTCCGGAGGACGCGCGAAAATCGGAGCGTTTCGCAGCGTCGAAAAAAGGAGCTCGAGGGCTAAAAGCTGGAAGCGCGCGCAGAGCCTGCCGGGACCCCGGTGTCTACGCCGGCCGCAGTCGCTCGCTTCCTTCCCGCCCGTGAAATTACAGTGTTTACGCGAATTAGATTTCGGTTTCGGTAATTTTCAGTTAATAACGAACCGAACTCCGGCCAACGAACGAACGAGCATTAAGTGCGGCTTCGAACCCATTAATGCTATTATAATGTAAGAGGCTACCTACGCGCTCGCCTCTTTCCCTCGCGCCCTTTCCCTTTGTCTTCCCTCGGTCTTCCACCAACGGGCACGGCCGGCCGGTAACACGAACCTGGATGCACGTCGCCTCGCAGCGCGCGCATTCGATGCTTAATGGCGAGAGCCAACAAAAATGAGAGAGGAGAGGCCCTCTCTTAGATTCTCCGCTTATCGTTCGGCATTACCGTTCAGGCTACCAGCATTATAAACTCATTTCCGATAAATCGGTTCGACTAAAAACACCGAGCGCCGCTCGGACGCTCGCTCCTTTCTTCTCCGTTCGTTTGATGAAAAGAGCATCAGCCGTTCACCTTAACCCTTAGACGAGGATCTTTTTTTTTTGAATAATGAAAACCTTCGTAAGAAGCTAAATTATGTGTCAAACTCTTGATCGCCGGAAAAGGAAACTGCGGATTGGTCTGTTGTTGCGTTCGAATCGCGATCGCTCGCGACTTTTCATTAGGTACCAATATGGCGGCGTTCGTGCTTAACACTGGGTTTACGGAAGGCGTCAAATTGATGCATATCGGATTTTAGAAATATTATTTTGTAAATGTTCACGCCGATTTTGATTGATGCGGCCACACTGACGTGTACCCCAATTACTATCAAATCTCCAGTTTCCACGATCTAAATAAACGAGCATCAATTCTTTTAGGAACAATAGAATGAAGTGTACAGTAAATGCCCGTGAACCTAGTGTTAACTTCTCGCACTGAGTTTCGCAAGAGCGTAGAACTATTTCATTGTATAATCCTACTAAAATCACACTAGGATTTATGACGAAAAAGTAATACTTTATTTGGACTTCGATGAATCAAGCGATACTCGTGCTCGTTAAATTATATTTCAAATCCCAATCAAGAGTTTGACAGGATATTAAGGAGCGAAAAGATTAAACCCTCGCTTCAACGAATCCGGGAGCGAGATGATCCCGTTTGAACGACTTTGACGTCGAGCACGCTGTTCCCCGTTTGAAATTGCCCGCGTTGCGCCGGCGCGGTGTGTCCGCTCGGATCGAATTTCGATAATGACGAATTAAGAGACAAACGGTCTCGGTGAATTTCATTAGGCAGCCCGGGGAACCGGTTCCAAAGGGCCGTGGACCGCGTTTGCAAATTGCGGACGGGAATTATCAGTAGCAGCTTGTAAGCACGAGGCAAGGGGGCGGTGGAGGGGGCGGCTGTGTGGGGAGGGACCGTTCGACCGTGGTATGCCGAGGTATCGATCGCGCGTGAAAATGATTCTGGTCGTTACAAGCGAATCGAACGCTGTTACATGATCACTCACGGCGTCGAACGTGCCGAAGCGTGGGCTCGTAGGGAATCATTAATGCGGCAAGGTCGGTGAAAGGAATGATACCTCCGTCCTCCTCCGCGTGTCGCCGACTGGCTCACCGTCTTCTTCGCGATCCTCGCGCGCGAGAAATTCGACGAGGATCGAGGGATAGGATCTGTCTAGATCGGATGTTGGTTTCTTCTATGATGAGTCTAGTAGGTTGACTTGTTTGGTAGGACTAGATTGAGTTTTGATTCGTCTGATGGTAGGTGCAAGTTCAGTTTCGATTCAGTCAACGATTGATCTAGAATCAATGTTAATTTATTTCGTAGGACTAGATTGAGTTTTGATTCGTCTGCTAGTAGGGCTAAGTTCAATTTCGATTCAGTCAACGATTGTTCTAGAATCAGTGTTAATTTATTTGGTAAGACTAGATTGAGTCTTTTCGTCTGATGGTAGGTCTAAGTTCAATTTCGACTCAATCAACAATTGATCTAGAATCAATGTTGACTTATTTCGTAGGACTAGATTAAATATTGATTCGTCTGACGGTAGATCTAGTATCAGTATCGATTCAGTCAACGATCGATCCAGAATCGACGTCGATTCCTTCGACAATTGTCCCAGATTCAGTAACAACTCGCCCAACGGTGGATATAAACTGAAAGTAGATTCGTCGAACGATAAACCCAACGTTAATTCGCTCGGTAATCAGTGCCCTCGAGACCTGCCACGATGTTTTCAAACAATTCCACGGAACAAGGACATTCGAGCGAGCTCGCCGCGGAAGCTAAACCGCCAGGATTTCCCTGGCGATTCAGTGAATCGCATCGCACCGTTGATAAGCTACCAGTCGACGGGCGTCGACGTTGAGCACTGACCAGTCTAAAATCGTACGTCCTCACGATAACGCTCTAATTACCGAATGACCGCGAGTCAGCAGGCAACTCTCCTCGGTAACATATTCCTCCAAGCTGGAACCTCGATTCACGATCCCAATAACAAAGGGTCAACCCTAAACATTCGAAAGCGTATCGCCCCGTATACGATGGTCGCGTATGAACAATTTCTAAACGAAGACGCGTTGTTTACAGATCACTCGGCGCGAGGAGGAGGCGTCGAGCCAGCCGCCGAGCAGACGAGTCCTGCGAGCAGTACGAGCAGCTCTGGCCAGGTGAATCAGGCGAACCAGCCAGCTCTCCAACAGCAGCCGCAGCAGCAGCAGCAGCAGCAGCAGCAATCGGTACCGCCACCTACAACGACAACACTTCAATCCGGTCAAATGGGAATCTCCACGGAAGAGGTGAGGGCCGAGGAGGAGAGCAACCACCCCAGAGCCGCGCCGACCAGCCCTGAAAGCGAAGCCGAGGTCGACGACTTCGTTCCAAAAAGGAAGCAGCGCAGATATAGGACTACCTTTACCAGCTTCCAGCTAGAGGAACTCGAGAAAGCTTTCTCGAGAACTCATTATCCGGACGTGTTCACCAGGTACGTAAACGACGCAACGCGACGCGACGCGACGCCCAGCGTTCGCAAGATATGTTTCTCGTGAATCGAAGAAACCTTTAGCATCGCGGTACCACGGTGTACGGGAGGCAAGAAAGGGCTGCCAGGGTCCTGGCAATGTTGCCGCTCGCGTATCGTGTAATTAATAACGATAATGTCCGTGTACGGGCACTCTAGCCTGCTCGAGTGATAGAGCAACGCCGAGCCAGGAACACGTGGCTCGACTCTTTCACCGGCGATTAAGTGTTTTTATAATAATTTCCAATTTCCTGTTGTACTCGATTAGCTTTAGAGTCGCATAGCGATGTGTTTCGTTGCGGCAGAAATATCCTTAGTGTATAATAGGTTTCATTAGCGAATTTATATTGGGAATAACCGACGAAATTAACGGCCCCCGGTGACTTCCGTTGCTACGATTGTTCGGTGAATTTCACTTATTACCGATAGTGAAACGCGTAACAGGCTCGCAGTCGGATAGAGTTAGAATTTCGCCGCGGCGAACGGTTATGTTTTCGAATTATAATTCCCGAGATATTTCGAGGGATCGCTCGTAAAAGGCTTTACTGCGCATCTCCCGCGCGACTGATAGAAGGCTCGTGTATACCTCCCGCTGGTCTAGCCGATGGAAGAGGTGTCTAGTCGCGTTTGTCAGGTTCCAGGCTCCCCGTGTAACGGGATCAAGATACAAGCGGGAACTTGCAGAGCCGGCTATTAGTTCCTACCGAGCCGAAATATTTCGTGACCGGGCCGGCGTGCGCGCGCTCCCGTATTTATGGGACCGTTTCCAAACGAAACCACGATCGTCACTGGCGTTGCCCTTTCTCCCGAAGAATTGTCTCTTAACGGATTCCATGATCCAAAATATTTACGATCGGATACCTGTGCGCACGCACGCGCGCGCGCGCGAGCGACCGAGCGCGAACGCTTTCACACGTACGGATACACACACGGCTAGTCCTTGAACGCGCTCGTAAAACAGGCCCGGTTGTTTCGGACACGCCGTCGAGCTAACAAAAGATTCGACAACCTATTGTTAACAAAATAACTTTCCTCCTGTGACGCGGCCTCTGTCAGACGCGCGGAGATTTGTAGTAGGACGGTGCCTCGCGATGGAACTACCGAGCAGTCGAAATGACTCTCGCAATTTCTGTGGAAGCTCGAAGAGAGTTGTTTAGATTCCATTTACTTACTCGGTATTCGGATCACTGAATCAATCTCTTTAATCATTTCTCCGGGAAGCGTCTGTCTCTTTAACACGTCGAACGCTGCGTAATTTCGTAGAGCAAAATACAAAATGGACGAAATATATGAAATTGCTTGAATTGCGTTATTATTGCACGTTGATATGTCTGAGTGGCACCGCATTAGATAACATTATTTATAATATACAAATGTTTATAGTTTTCCACTAGAAATATTTCAACATCTGATGAGACGAAGACGATATTTTGTAAAACTCGACGAGAAATTCACGTGAATCGACGGACAAATCTATTGTACGTCAATATTTCTGAGATGCATTATATGAAGTATAATATTAAATATCAAACTTTGTAGCTTCACCGTAGGAAATCAAGTGGTGACTGAGAGTCAGCTCCCGAGTGCAAAGGGTTAATTGAACGAACCACAGTAATTCGATTCGGTCGGGTGACCCCACGGCATCCGACGTGTTAATTGGTAACTCTGGTTCCCAAATTCCGACAAGCGAACAAGTATTATAATCCCCGAACGCGCGATAAGAGAATTCCGAATCCTCCCGACTGGGGGATCGGAGAAATAAAGAAGATCGATAAGATAACGAATACACGATGAAACCCGAACGCCTAAAGATTCGCAACAACGACTGAACGACGGTGAACGCGCGCGCTCGTTGGAATCCAGGAAAACGACGGCGAAGATCTATCGGCGCGCCCACCCATCGATCATCCGATTTTTCCCCGCGACGTCCGCGCCGGACGCGTCCCGTCGCCGCGGAAATTCCGCGCATCGTCGTAACGATGGTTATTGAGTTCCGGTTGGCGTCGTGTCGTTGGGATCCAGTTGCACGCGCGTGCACGCGGTAACGTGCCAGCGACGGGGCGCAGCGCAATCTATCCTGGCTAGCTTTTTCCTGCCGTGCCTCCTGTCTTTTTCCTCGTCGCTTCTTTCGCGGCACGGAACGGAACACCCGGTAGGTAGGTAACTAATAGCGGTGTAATCGCTCGTAATAGGTCCGGTCCTGTGGAGCCGCGGTATGGGTTCTCGTAATTAACGAACGTTAAGGGGAGGATATGCAGAGAAGCGAGCCGGGCACCGCCGTCGCCTGCCGATTCGATCTGGTCGCGCGGATCCTCCTCGGAACGCGATCGATGGGATAACTGTAATTATTGTGACTGCTCCTCCTGGGGGACAGACTTCTCGGCTGCCATTCGCGTGTGTGTCCCTGATAACGGTCTATTAGAATTGCTTCCCGGAGTCAGCATCGATCATAGAGACCGAGAATACGCGATTACCGCGGTCTACTGCTGGCTCGCGGAATAAATCATTCGCGATTGTTTTACCCTTTATCGAACATCTGTTACCTTCCACGTGGCATTACACTTTTCATCGTACCGGACGCTCGTCACTTGTTGCGTGACCGTTCCTCCGCATTGGGAGTCTTAACCCTTTGAACTCTGTATGCTCCAATGTTGCATCAGTTATAACATCGTGTCAGTCATATACAACACCGTGATGAAAATTTTAAACTGATTTAAGAGTATTATTGTTTTTAAATATACACTAAATATTACTTTTCTACTATCAATCGTTAACCTATGGAGTAAACGTAGATTAAGCATGAAATTTGTTTCTTTTACTATTGAATTATTAATATACAGTAGTTGTATCGATCATGGTTATGAAACAAATTATAAGGCAAAGAGTTAACCCTTTGAACTCTGTAGGCTCCAATATTGCACCAGTAATAATATAAAATATTTCAATGAATCTTAACATTAGAACTAAGTCAAAGTGACTGGTTTTGATCTTTTTATTTCATAATTATTGATATCTTAAAAGCATTGAATATTCGAAGTGATCTTCAAAGTAACTAGTTTCACTTGAATACTGTAATGAATGTCTGGAGAAAGTGCTAATAATCGATTATTACAATTTTTATAGGGATTACGTATTAATCGTATTAAATGCTCGGTAGTTCTAGTGTTAAAGAAACTACCCTAAAATCATTCGATCTTCCACACATCCGAATTTTGTACTAAGGAAAATAACAGATCGAAGAAATGTCATATCATTTCTCATTTTCGCTAATACTATAAAAATATGTTGCTGATAGATTACAAAACAACCTATAGTGCTAAGGGTTAAAAACTATACTCCGACGAAGTATATTTAACACTAGAACTACCGAGTATTTAATACGATTAATTTACAGTTCCCATAAAAATTGCAACGATAGATTATTCTCAGTTTCTTCAGACATTCACTATAGCACTGAAATGAAACTATTTTCAAAATCATTTCGAATATTCAATGCTTCAAAAATATCAATAATTGCTAAACAAAAGAAATCGAAACCAGTCATTTCGACTGGTACGTAGTTCCAGTGTTAATTTCAACTGAAAGAATTCAAATAACATTCATACTAATTCAATTCAGTTTAAAGTCCTCGCAACTCGTTCGTCCAACACAATGAGTTCGAACACAAGAGAAACGCTCGGAATTTGCGAAGTGAATCCGTTACGAAAGTCCGAAGAAGTCTCCGGCGTACCGCGCGGCCGACGAACGTCAGCCAGAAGACGCAGACGCGGCCGCAGACGGGCCGGAGTAAAAATTTTTAAGGGCTATCGTGTTATGGTCGTACCGGACGGACCAGTGGGTCGGGGGCTTATCGAAAAATTCGAAGTCCGGACTCGCGTTTCGAGATAAAGGCTAATGTCCGTGGCATCCCATCGTCGACGGCGAGCCGGCAGCAACGGGAACAAGCAACAGCAGCCCTTCGCTCCACTCTTACTTTCCTCGGAAAGCGGGCCGGCGCGGCGGGTGCAGCCGCGCTCACGTTAATTTTGCAATTTCCGTGGGGAGAGAGGCGGAGGGGACAGAGGGAGAGAGAGAGAGAGAGTGAGAGAGAGGGAGGGGGTGTAGCTCGAATAGAGAACGCGTTGCGATAAAGAAATCGATCGATTTTTGCGAGCAATCTCGGCCGTAATCTACCGTTTCCTTACTGTGGATCATTTCCTTTGCGCGGCCGGTCGTTCGATACCTTTTTGCCGTTTTCATATAAATTAATCCCCTCCCTCCGCCTCTCTGCCCCTCGTTGCCTGCTCGTTTCTTGCCGT